GGAGTTTCGCTCTTGTTACCCAGGCTGGAGTGCAATGGCGCGATCTCGGCTCACCGCAACCTCCGCCTCCTGGGTTCAGGCAATTCTCCTGCCTCAGCCTCCTGAGTAGCTGGGATTACAGGCACGCGCCACCATGCCCAGCTAATGTTTTGTATTTTTAGTAGAGACGGGGTTTCACCATGTTGACCAGGATGGTCTCGATCTCTTGACCTCGTGATCCACCCGCCTCGGCCTCCCAAAGTGCTGGGATGACAGGCGTGAGCCACCGCGCCCGGCCCATTTAAGCCTTTCAAGTGACCGTTTGATGATGTGACTGACTGACTAAGCGAACACCCTTGATTGCAAATGCCAAGCTACCAACTGGCTTCCCCAAAGCAGCACCACCCACTCTCACGGGAACCTGCAGACATTTTCTAGAACGATCCTCATGGTAAATATTGTATCTTTTGCAGCCCCAGAGGCGGAACTGAGAATAATTAGGTAGCTGCTTCTAGAAACGAGAGAAAACACATTTCTACCCTCTTTTTTTTTTTTTTTTTTTTTTTTCTGAGACAGCGTGTGATTCTGTCTCCCAGCCTGGAGGGCAGTGATATGACCATGAGCTCACAGCAGCCTCCATCTCCCAGGCTCAAAAGTGACCCGGTGACCTCAGCCTCGTGTGTAGCTGGGATTACAGGCATGTGCCACCACGCCTGGCTAAATTCTTGTATTTCTAGTAGACATGGAGTTTCACCACATTGACCAGGCTGGTCTCGAACTCCTGACCTCATGATTCACTTTGGGAGTGCTGAGATGACAGGCGCGAGCCACCACGCCCAGCTGATAACATATTTTTAAAAGAAAAGGAAAGAGGCCACACGTACCACTCTGTATTTTCTTTTTTAAAATATATTTTTAATTTATGTTTTATTTTTTGAGATGGAGTCTTGCTCTGCTGCCCAGGCTGGAGTGCAATGGCGCGATCTTGGCTCACTGCAACCTCCGCCTCCTGGGTTCAAGCAATTCTCCTGCCTCAGCCTCCCGAGTAGTCGGGATTACAGGTGCCTGCCACCACACCCAGCTAATTTTTGCGTTTTTAGTAGAGACGAGGTTTCACCATGTTGGCCAAGCTGGTCTCGAACTGCTGACCTCAGGTGATCCGCCCGCCTCGGCCTCCCATGGGGGATTACAGGCGTGAACCGCCATGCCCCGCCAATAACATTATTTTTTTAAAGGAGAAGGAGAGAAAGAGGACACACGTATCATTCGGTATTTTCTGATTTTTCTTCTGAGCCTTTTTGTTTTTGAAGGCTAGCTCTGCAGGTCACTAGCCTGGAAGACCTGGGGGGAAGGCATGACCCGTGCAGCTGACCTTTGGTATGGGTTCAGTCACACGGGGTTGTATTATGAGCCGATGTTGGGGTGCCTGACATGTGTTCCAGGGGATTTCTTTAAAGACCGTCTTCCGGAAGCAGACCTGTACATCCTGGCCAGGATCCTCCATGACTGGGCGGATGGAAGATGCTCACAGCTGCTGGAGAGGGTCTACCGCTCTTGCAAGCCAGGTGAGCGGTGGGGGTGCATTTCAGCATGTGATGTGACTCAGGGCAGAGCGGCAGGCGTGATATTGAGAAGGCAGGCACTGAGTTCATCCCACTGGTAAGCGTAGACATCTTGCCAATGGATTTCTTTTTAGATAACGACCTACCATAAATGGGCTCCTGATTTCTATCTATTGAGAGAACCACAGACAGATGGAAAAAGTGAAACGTTCCATGAGATGTCAGTGGAATTAGGCTAGTATTTGTGTGTGTGATGGGGACAGTACCCCGTGTCCTGTGAGGTCCATCCATCCTGAAGGTCCATGAGGTTGTGGGCACAGCCTCTGTGTGTGTGATGGGGACAGTGCCCCATGTCCTGTGAGGTCCACCCATCCTGAAGGTCCATGAGGATGTGGGCACAGCCTCTGTGTGAGTCTTGGGGACAGTGCCCCATGTCCTGTGAGGTCCACCCATCCTGACGGTCCATGAGGATGTGGGCACAGCCTCTGTGTGTGTGATGGGGACAGTGCCCCATGTCTTGTGAGGTCCACCCATCCTGACGGTCCATGAGGATGTGGGCACAGCCTCTCTGTGTGTGATGGGTACAGTGCCCCATGTCCTGTGAGGTCCACCCATCCTGAAGGTCCATGAGGATGTGGGCACAGCCTCTGTGTGAGTCTTGGGGACAGTGCCCCATGTCCTGTGAGGTCCACCCATCCTGACGGTCCATGAGGATGTGGGCACAGCCTCTGTGTGTGTGATGGGGACAGTGCCCCATGTCCTGTGAGGTCCACCCATCCTGAAGGTCCATGAGGATGTGGGCACAGCCTCTGTGTGTGTGATGGGGACAGTGCCCCGTGTCCTGTGAGGTCCACCCACCCAGAAGGTCCATGAGGATGTGGGCACAGCCTCTGTGTGTGTGATGGGGACAGTGCCTCATGCCCTGTGAGGTCCACCCATCCTGAAGGTCCATGAGGATGTGGGCACAGCCTCTGTGTGAGTCTTGGGGACAGTGCCCCGTGTCCTGTGAGGTCCACCCATCCTGAAGGTCCATGAGGATGTGGGCACAGCCTCTCTGTGTGTGATGGGTACAGTGCCCCATGTCCTGTGAGGTCCACCCATCCTGCTGGTCCACGAGGATGTGGAAAGAAAGAGGCTTTCTGTCTCTCTCTCTTTCTGCCTCAGACAGTCCTATGTGTCTCTCCTGTATGGGACCCTCCCTATGGTTCACAGACCATAAGGATGGCCAGACTTCAGAGGAACGTGGGGCACTGTACCCGACACACACTCAGAGGCTGTGCCAGGTCTTCAAGGAATTTCAGAATGGATGGACCTCACAGAATAGACAGCACAGACACTGTCCCCTTCACACACGCACAGAGGTAGTGCCCACGTCCTCTGTCCCCTTCACACACACAGAGGCAGTGCCCACGTCCTCTGTCCCCATCACACACACAGAGGCAGTGCCCACGTCCTCTGTCCCCTTCACACACACACAGAGGCA